GTACGGAAAAGAGGCGGGGGCTCTGCGCACGCATGCGTGTCCAGGGAGGGGGGAGTGCGAATAGGGAAGGCAACAGCCGGGAGAAGCGGTGCAGCAGCCAGAAAGCCCCCCAGGTCTCCTTAGAAGTAAGCCATGCACCGCGGTAGGGAGGGAGGGAGGTGTGCGCATGCGCCGTTGGGTGCTTGTGCGCATCCTGTGGAGACTTGGGGGAAAAAACCTTTTTGCGAGGGGACATGGGCGGGCGCGCGATCAGACGCCCGCCCTTGCCCTGAGGTTTCCGGAAACTAGTACCTCGGAGGTACTAGTTTTTTAAGCCACATCTTCGGCGGGAAGCCTCGGGTGAGCCACGGGAGCTCTACGCTTCCCAGATGTGGTGGTGTGATCGCGCCCGGAAAATCCGCCTATCTTCCATTTCTGTAGCGTGGCTAATGATCCGTGTGACCGCAGCCTAGGACTGCTTTCTAACAGTCTCTGGGTCTGTTCTGTAAATGCATGCAAGGTAGGCATAACAATTGTCACAATACCCTTTGCACAGTGGAAGCTTCTGAATATCAACGTCCAGGCCTATAGCAGTTTAGGATATCCCCTAGTTTTGCATTATATATTGCCTTGCAGTCATCAAGGACTTCAGCAGATGTTTTCTAGCCCTAACCTTGTATAGCAAAATGACCCACAGTGCGCTAAGGCAATGGCGAATTGGCTCAGTTTGGAATTTTGTTAGACAAAAAAATTCATTCCGTTCAGAAAACTGATTCTACAGGTAAACAAGTGTAATGCAACCTATAGTTTTAATGTAGGAAATGCAGGGCAGTGTACCCAGTGGTGTACCAAGGGGAGGGTGTGGTCAGCCACCCACCTGGTGCCTGCAGCCAAACATCTTCCCTTTTATTTTTACAATGCAGTTCTGACTTCAGCTGCTAAGAGCACAGGGAAGTCTGAGCATAGCAGAAAGCTCTAGGATCAGCTAAGCTTCCCTTTTCTCCAGGACTACAGATCGAGCTGATAGCTGCTACAGTAAAGTTAAATACAAGAACATTTTCACCGTCTGCTTTTCTTTTCTGGACATTGAATATAAAGTTTGGGACCAGTGGGCCCTTTAAGACCAAACTTTGTTCTGCTGCTTCAGAGCCACACGGCTACCCACCTGAATCTATTTCCTTGCCATTATTATTATTCATTTTATTTCATGATTATTACTGGAAATAATTTTGTCGCATAGAGGAAGGGCCCTGACCTGGATATCCCCAGCCTTGCCTGATCTCGTCAGATCTCAGAAGTTAAGCAGGGCCAACTTGGAGGCAGGCAATGGCAAATCACCACTGAACGTCTCCTGCTTTGGAAACTCTACAGGGTCATAAGTCAGCTGTGACTTGAGGGCAAAAAAGAGGGGGGGGGGCGTTTAAAAATTATCCACCCCTTGTGCCAAATAGGCTGGGTTCACCACTGAATGTACTTTTACTCAGGAATGTGATGGGCCTTATCTTGTAACCATCAATCACACATATTCATCCTTGTGCCTCCAGTGATCTGGAACTATTTCCACGCAGTCCTCCTCCCAGCAAATGCTGCATCCAGAAATGGTGTAAATGTAATCACTGGTCCTGTGTTTGATTATGACTACAATGGCTTATATGATACACCCAAGGAAGTGAAAAGGTGGGTACATGGTAGGTTTAGCTTTCATAATAATAAAAATAAGCAGTGATGTATTTTAATGAATTAGTTACCAAAGCAAAGTTCTTCTTAAACTTAATTTTTGGCAAAAAGTCCAACTCTCTGTGAACATATGAAAATATTTATACAAACAAAAGATTGACAAATTACCTGAGAGATAAGTGAAATCCATAGCAACACACACACACACACACACACACACACACACACACCCCTTATACAAGTTTAGGTTTTGGTCTACAGTGCTGTGAATCCAGACTGAATTTTTCCATCAGTGGAATATAAGTTTGCTTCTTCCCACTGCGGCCCACAGATCTCCATGCCTGGGGGAAAGGGGATGGAGAGGAATGACAAGAAAGGAGGTCTGCAGCAGGGATTGGTAAACACTGTAAATTGCCCATCTGGCAGGGATCCAACCCTATATCTGCTAATGAGGGATCAGCCAACTGGAATGACAAAATACAAAAATATAAAACCAAGGATGAAATCGCAAACTCTCTGCTCCAGAGCAGTTCTGATAATGGCTGCCACACCGCTCTGATGCAAGAGGTGTGAACCTCGACTGTAATTCTTCCAAAATTGTTTTCTAGGAGTATGGCTATGCATACTGTTCACATGGACCCTGTTGCTATATATCCTTTATTTATTTAAATGGTGTGGTGGTAAGAGATTCAGGCTACAGAAATGAAAGGAAGATGCATAAGTTGAGGGAGTGTGCTCTGTTTCTTCTGTGTGAATACTGCCTCAGTAGTATACAACATTTTATTTCTACAACATTACAAAACTGATCCTGGCTTATCCCCTAACATCAAGGAACTTAATGCCAATTTCACAGCACTTTAAAAAATATCCATAAAGTTCAGAGAGGGCAATCTCTTTCTGACAGGCACCTTAACAGATACTCATAATTATTTAATTTTGACTTGGGTAACCATAACTTAAAGCACAACCCATCATAACGCAAAAGAATTCCTTTATATAATCAGGCTGTGATCACACACACTAAATAATACACTTTCAATCCACTTTCAGTGCACTTTCCTAATGGATTTTGCCAGTTCGCACAAAAATCCAGTTGGAAAGTGCATTGAAAGTGCCTTATTTAGTGTGTGTGATTGCAGCTTGTCTAGTTAAATTGGAGTGCTGTGATAGGTTTCCTTAATGATGAGAACATTAATCTGCGAAACCAGGGCTGCTTTCACACCACAGATTTCCCAAGTTTCAGCCACCCACCTGGTGTATTTTTTTCTTGTTTCCACATAATATTTTTCTCTATTTGTGCCCAAATCATTAACCCATTTTTTCCCCAAAAATTTGGCTTTAAATTAAACCTGCAAAAGGGGGTATTTCTGGGGCCGGATGCTATCCACACAATTTTGTGTGTGTGTCTGAAGGGGAAACTGTAATTTCAGGACTACGATGAATAGGTAGTCAGTTACTAGTGTCATTTGTTGATGACCTGAAGGAGCTAGTCCCTGGCACCAGTTAACATAGAAGAAAACTGCCTTATTTTTAGACAGAGGAGAGGGCCTCCTCATAAGCTCTGTAACTATGAGTTTTTTTAAAAAAGGTTGTTAAACTCATGCTCATTTTTTTAAAAAAGCAGAAGAGAATTACCCCCCATAGCCTGCCTTTTAGGGAAGGGCGAGAGGATGTTGGAGATATCTGCAAATACATATAAGGTTTTTTTTTTAAGAGATTGCATTGTTTTGAGATTAGAGTCCAGAAGCCCCTCAGAGACCAACAAAAGTTTCAGGGTGTACGCTTTCGAGAGTCAAAGCTCCCTTTGCCGAGTGTCTCCCAAAGCTCATACCCTGAAACTCTTGTTGGTCTCTGAGGTGCTCCTGGACTCTAACCGTTCTACTGAAGATCAACATGGCTACCCTCTGAAACTATATTCATGCATTATTTTTGTGCAGCATTGTGTTATCAATGCAACTCAAAATAACATTTAAAAAAATGATAAACAGGGTGTGGAGAATCCTAAGGGTCACCTGAGAATACAGTGGGAGGGGGGCTTCATGTGCACACAAAGCCACCACTACAAATGAAGAGGAAACGGATTACCTGGGCTGCCTGGAATGTCCATTGCAAGGAGAATTACACACAGAATCGTATCAGCCAATAGGCTAACACCAAGAATCACCCTGGTGTGGAAGCAGCCCAGTTTGCAAAATTAACTGTGTAACTGAACAAAATTCAAGTCCAGGGGCAGCTTTTAGGACCAACAAAGTCTTATTCAAGGTATAAGCTTTGGTGTGTGCACACAATTCTTCAGATACAGTAAAATGGAAGTTACCAACCCATACAAAGAGGCAGAGGGTGAGCAGCAAATTAGCATAAGCATAATAAATGTTGTTTAAGTGATGCAAGGACTAAACTGGAATAACAAGCTTAGTTTATATGGTCACCATCTGTTTGGGTTTAATTCCAAGGGGAAACAGTGAAGGAAATAAATATATCAGAATTGGAGATTGATGTGCAAATGTACCCTTCGTAATTAGAAACTGTGTTTGGAGTAATTCTGTAGCAGCTCACACTGTAAATGTGCTTCAGAGTTTCACTGGGGTACACACACACTGTAGTTATATGGTTTTGTTAAAACTTGTTTCTTACTTTAGACCTTTTGTTATTCATTGTTATTCTTTGTTCTTGGTCTATGGGCTTAGACTAGAGTATACCTGCATAGGTCCAAATCTACCATGAAGTTCTCCTCTGTAAGCCTCGTTAAACTGAATGAATTTATTGCAGTGGAACTTACCCCAGAGAACAGTTACTAGTATCTGTTCCGCAGCAGTAAATTCATTCATTTTAATGGCACCTGCACAAGAGAAATTCCTGTTGAATTGAGTCCAGTGGTACTACATTATGTTAAATGGATATTAGATTGTTCGACTCATGCTACTGTAGTATATTCTGTTTTTAGCTTAAAAACCTTTTTTTATATTTCAGACTCTCTAATAATTCGGAAGTCCTGATTCCAACTCACTATTTCATTATGCTGACAAGCTGTAAAAACGTTTCCCAGACTCCTTTGCAGTGTGAAGGATCTCTTGATGTAGAATCTTATATTGTACCTCACAGAGAAGACAACAGTGAAAGCTGCATAGTGAGTAATTCTCATTTTCATTCATGTATAAGCACTTGTACCCAGCTGTGTGTATTCCACTTTTTCACCACAGTGTAAAAAATATGCATTTTTGGTTAAGGACAAGTTTCTGGCTTTACAGCTGTGAAGATAGGCTTGAAAAATGTATAGGCAATGTCTGGAAAAAGTTCTGAAGCCAAAAGAATGGGATGTCTTGGGTAACTTGAATAACTCATTGTTCCTTTTCAGTGATGAGTTAAAGCCCCTCCAGTATATGCAAATGTACTTGATATATGGGGCTTGACAATTTAGCATTTCTTGGTACAGAATTTCTTATTTAACCAAAGTCAACATAGTCCTGGCTCAGATGCAAGCATCTATGTCAAGAAACCTCCCAGGTATTCACTGCAGAGGTTTGACCAGAGTTTTGAGGCTATTATCAGATCTATTCTTTGTTCTAATAAAAGCATCTTCTTTATGTAGAACCTTTCTCTCATATTAGCTTTCTGCAGAAGCCTGCCCTTTCTCCTACACTGCCCTGTTGTTGTGAGGAAGACCGGGATTGTTAGTTACCCATGGGAGGCCCAGGCAATGGCTGGGGTTCTGGAGTTGGTGCAGCACAACTCACCGGAAGGGGAAGGGGAAGGGGAAGAAAAGTGCTCCCTAATTCCCTGTTGTGATCATCCCACACGTGTGCGGTTTGGGGAGCAGGGATGGGATGGATTATTCTCTCGATTTTTATCCTTAATATCCGGAATATTCTAAGTACCCAAGGTGGCTTTTACAAGCACAGAGGAAAATGACTTTACTAAATATTAAAATACTATAGCAATATTTTAAAACACCTTGCAGTGTCTGCAATTCAACAAGGGACTGGGGGCAGGGAGTCGTTACGCACACTAAAGTTAAGCAGATCTGGGTCAGTCCTTGGATGGTGGTACCACTTGGGCATCTGATCTGTACATTCTTGAGCTCCATGAATGGAGAAAGGCAGAAATACATATGTCATAAATAAGTAAAGTAAACACACAACATTTTAAATCTGTGGCAAGAAAATGCATCACTTTTGCAAAGTCGTTACATTAGCAGTGCTATGCTATACAGTGTTATTCCACTCTAAACCTATTGAAATCAATAAGTCTAGGTGGGAATAACTCTATATAGGATTGTATTGCAGTCTTGCCTTATCCATTCAAACATCTTCCTTCAGTGGAAATTACTGGCTTCTTTGTAGTCTGTTGAGAATGTAATCACAGCAATACAATATTTCTGGAGCAATCTTTCCCCCCTCATATTCTAAAAAAATTCTCTCTCTGTTCCTGCAGAGCGGCAAGACTGAATCCTTGTGGGTTGAAGAAAGAATGAGGTTTCATGCAGCCCGGGTCAGAGACATAGAACTTCTGACTGGGCTAAGTTTTTTCCATGAAAGAAAACAGCCCGTGTCAGATATTTTACGGTTAAAAACATATCTGCCAAGTTTCAACAAGAACTAAATGTTGATGTTTGCATACTATTGGAATTTTTGTACAGAAAGAGGAAGCAAATGCTTTAAACATGCTAGTAGATTGTCTGAGGATGCTTGAGCAGGAAATAATCTGTGCCATATTTGTATCTCAGGGACATTTTATGGACCAGGCATAATAGAGGAGGGTAGCTTCTCTCAGCCTTATTATCCACATTGATGTGGTAAAAAGTTTTGTACTTTGTTATTAAAGCCAGTCTGCCAGCATTTCATAACCTGACGCACATATGAGGGAAAACAGTTTAACTAAATGTGAACTGGCAGGCATGTATATTTTATCAAAAAAGGAGAAATAATATAAATAGTTTTTAAAAACACATTTCATGCTTTCCAGTTCCTTTTCACTCTGTAGTGGTACTTTCGGAGTCAAACTGTATGAGATTTGGAAAACCATGATCAGATCTTCTACCTTTTAATCTTCTTTTACTAGTAGCATAAATTGGATTGAAAGCACAGCACAGAAAAATGGGGTACAAATCCTTCATTCTGCACCATTTTCCTGATGCAAAATGTTCTCCTTGAGTCTTTGGGGCATGCGGTGGCTCCAGAGGGGCCATTTATATTAGTACAGTGGCACAGAGGAAAATGAATAACCTCTCCTTCCCCAATGCCACGTCCTAATCTGATTTACTTTCCACCATGGCTGCTATTAAAAGACATGAGAGATCTGATCAGTCTTCTTCAGTGCCTCTTCTAGTTTGGCCCTAATGTACCTAATGTTATATATTGATTATTGCACCATTTACTGTATCGTGTTCTGATGTGTTGCTACTTTGTAAGGCTCACGAAGGGGACCGAACCAGCACTTTTCAGCTTTGCATCTTAGTATTCTACCACTTTCCTCAACTGATTTGTATAAATATTGTTTAACTTCCTGGTCATTGGAGGATGTGATAAAATATAATTTTACATCGGTTAGTCTGACTCTTTTTAAACTATCATGCCACAGAAAATGTCCATCTTGGGTTGGAACACACTTCCTTGATTCACAGAGATCAAGGTCCCTTTCATATGGGCTATTTAACCTGCTTTGGCTTCTGAAGGCACATTGATTTTTTAAATAGTTTCATACGCCTTGAGGATAAAACACTGTCATCCTGTAGAACAAAGTTTGAGTCCAGTGGCATCTTTAAGACTAACAAAGTTTTATTCAAGGTATGAGCTTTCCTGTGCACGCACACTTCTTCAGGTATGTTGAAATGAAAGTTACCAGTCCGTACATATAGGCAGAGGATAAGCAGCAGTAGTTAATGAAGCTTTAATCTGGGTTTTCCAAAACGTGTTTTAATCTGGTTTTTCTTTTTGGTGTTGCACTTTATCCTTAAGATGTGTGAAACCTTAACAAAATCCATTTGCTTTTAGAAGCCAAAGAGCTAATATGAAAAGGACCTAATCCTCCCTTTAGCACCTCTTCCATTCCTCTGGAGGATAGACAGCTATCTCTATATGTAGGGTTCCTACTGCCCCCTAGTGGGAAATCTCTTTGGTAAAGTTTTCTACAAATCAGAAGAAATTGCTCTACAAAGCCAACACAGGTTGACAGCGAAACGAACGAACACTAAAGTCTGTTAAAAATGTATTTATTAAGCCCAAATTAATCCTAGATGTAATCACTATAGGCTAGAGATACACTAGTTGCTTTTCTCATGATATATGATTTGACTTTCATATGCATATTATTTTAGCTTTCTTTACCAGATAACAAGAGGTACTACTGACTCTCCCACAGTATACCTTATAATGCCAGCCGAATGATCAGGAAGAACACTGGTCCTTCTTTTCCTAGGCATGGTGGTGCACAATGTCTGAAAGGCAGGAAAACAAACGTTTTTTTAAAAGCTTAGTTCTGAACACAGCTGTGTACATACTAAGTTGTTGAATCTTTTCAAACCACAGATCCAAATTAATCCTCACCTTTTTGTGTGCATGTATGAAAAGCACAGAGTAGTTCCAAAACAAAGAGGGTCCCATTGTTGTCAAACCATGTAAAAGGTAACAATAAACACTTGGGCAGGCATATCTTACATTTTGCATTCTGTAGATACAGGTGGAAGGCAATGGCGAACCACCTCTACTTCTCATTTGCCTTGAAAGCCCCTTGCTGGGGCTTGTGACTTGCCAGCATGTACGTATTGATGTTTTAGTTGAAAATTTCAGTATCTTTCACAAACACCCAAATATTACAATATCCTATCAACAGTATTTGTTTATTAGACTTTTATCCCATTTTATTAGACTTTTATAAAATTTAATACACAACAAATTATACAGTTTAATAAAATAAATCCATCACAATTTAAAACCAATCTTACAGTTAAAACATTAGCAATCAATCTACTATAAGTTAAAGCATTAGCAATCAATCTACCATAACAAATAGCACCCTTACAAACCTTCAGGGTGCATAACTAAGGGCACATCCAATACAGGGAAATTCTTGGCCCAGCAGTCACTGTACTCAACCATACGCCCAGTGGAACATCTCTGTCTTACAGGCCCTGTGGAATTGAACCAGATCCCGCAGGGCTCGGGTCTTTCTAGACAGAGAGTTCCATCAGGTTTGGGGCAGAGCCGAAAAGGCCTTGGTCCTGGTTGAGGACACCAGATCATTCCAGAGCCAGAAGAAGAACTTAAGAAGGACTTCACCAGATAAAATTTATCAGGCTGTTAGACTCCACTTTGTTCAATCACCTTTCCATATGCTTCCTCAGTACCAGGGGTCATTTCCTGCTGGAGGAGGGCGAAGCAGCACTCTGGCAGTAAGGAGCCCAGGGTGGCCCCTCGCCGCCATTCCTGGCCTGCCTGCGCATGCAGACAAGCCAGGGAAGGCTTGCAGAGCTCCCCGCTGCCTGGGGGGATTTAAATGCCTTTTCCCCCCTTCCCCTAATGGGGAAGGGAGAGAAAGGCATTCTAAACATGCCTAGGTTCCCTGCCCGATCTTCTCTAGGTGCCCTAGAAGATTAGGCAGAGAACACAGGCATGTATCCCTCCCTGCCCTCCCCTCTACTTCTCCAGCCAGCCCACCGCGGCGGGCTGGCTGGAGAAGAGGAGGGGAGGCGGGCAGAAATGCCCCCTTTTCCCCTGAGCCTCTCCGCTTTTGCGGAGAAACTCAGGGGAGTGGGGGGGGGATTTAAATGCCTTTATTTCCCTTCCCCAGATGGGAAATATGCCTGGGTTCCCTGTGCGATGTTCTCCAGGTGCCCCACAGCCGTGGGGCACCTGGAGAAGATCAAGCAGGGAATGCAGGCATGTCTGCCTCCCTGCCCTCCCTTCCCCTGAGCCTCTCCGCTTTTGCGGAGAAACTCAGGGGAGTGGGGGGGGGATTTAAATGCCTTCTAAATCCCAATGTTCTCCAGGTGCCCTGCAGCTGTGGGGCAGCTGATCGGGCAGGGACCCCAGGTATGCTTGCAGCCTCTCCGCTTTTGCGGAGAAACTCAGGGAAGGGGGGGATTTAAATGCCTTCTAAATCCCAATGTTCTCCAGGTGCCCTGCAGCTGTGGGGCAGCTGATCGGGCAGGGACCCCAGGTATGCTTGCCTGCCTCCCCTTTGTCAGGGGGTGTGGCATATCCAAATGAGTTATGCAAATGAGCTCCTGCACCTCTTTTTCTACGAAATGACCCCTGCTCAGTACTGAGCACAAATATTGCATTAGCAGCCAGCCAGCTGTAGTGTCACATACCTTCTGCCATAAGCTTTGCTTTCTTGGTTTCATGCCTTCCATTAATTTCTCAAAATGAACTCTTTATGTATGAATCCTACTCCTGGATCATAAACATTCACATGTTTTGTTATATGCTGCCTAACATCCAAATAACTCTGTCACCACTCTGTGTGGATTTTGCATCAGATTAGGTGTTAGTATGTATCACTTGTATATGGCTGCGCAAGACTCAGTGCTTCAGTGTAGGATAATTTTTAACTAGATTTCAACTAGGTACAGTTACAGTACATGTGTACAAAATACAGGTTTAGTGCATCAGTTATGATGGATGCACGTGTATAATATTTCCCATCAAAAACTCACAAGCAGAGGCAGAGCCTTTTCTAGTTACCATTTGTAGGCACTTTGAGGGAAGAAGCCATACATGCCTACTGATGTTTTACACCAACATTTTGCACTTGGATATGAAAATCTGAGTCCACATTGTATCATAGCTGGTGGCCCTGAAAACCAGGCCATTAATCTGTAGAGGCAAAACAGACTACAAGGTAGTTCACAGAGATCCCCTATATGTAATTTTTTCATATAGCGTTACATTTAATGTGTGTTTGGAAGATATGCACAATGTATGAGCTGCAAAAAAAAAAAAGCAAGACACATGGACATTTGGGATGTACACACTGATCATGGAATGTTCTACACGGGAGCATACCTGAGCCCGACACCTAGATGACTATGTGAACCAGCTCATGAAAAATGTTGTTGTACATGTAATAATTAATTTCTACTTCAAAAGACATTGCACCAATATTACATTTATGGCCACAAAGTTAATACACATTTATCTGGGACTAAGCTCAGTTGAATATAGTGGAACAAACTATTACAAATGACTGGGCTATAAGGCACTGAATAAGTTTTCAGGGGAGCTTGAGAAATACACAGGTGTTGTGGTATTCTGGTCTCTTTCAGAATTGGAGTAAGTTTTTTTTTAATAGGTAAACATTTTATTGAACTATCAAAATATACATGAACAATAAAATAATAATGGAAAGCTATGTTTTAAAAGCAATGATTTAACCACGTATTGTCAGTCACAACTTTACAGTTCTAATCCATTACTTTTTCTGAAGGATGAGTGTGTGTGTTGTAGCAGTGGTACAGTATAGTACAATACTGTGTCAGCTGTGATTTCAGTACAGTGACCTTATAAAATCACTTTGGCAAATAATTCATAATCACAGCTATACCTTTTTGGTATGTAGAACATGTACTGATCGTATTATATTATACCTTTTACTAGAAAATGAAATGTTCTCATTACTGTTGGAAGGCTTCAAAGAAGGACTGAGAAATGATTGCTATTTATTTGTTGATACATTCAACTTCAAAGCACCCATAAACATGTACACTGAGTGGTCAGAGTTGCCAGCAAAACATTTGGAGCAAATGAAAGCAACATCACAATCCATTTTCAAATGTTTGTACAATGCAGTGCACGTATTTATATTTTCAAAGAGCCATATACTTGCTTTATAGAATTGCATTCTGGGCTTAGAAAATAAGGTAAGATTGCACTTGCAATCTAATGGTTATGAGAGTGATTTTCTGAATTGCTACTGTGATTTTTGATGTTCAGCTTCTCATTGATGCCTTTGAAATGTGACCCCTGAGAACTTTAGAATGGCAGTTTTCTCTACTGAGAAAGTAGGGCACATGCTGCATAAAATTGTTCTACCTTTTTTGGGTCATTTAAGATAGGTTCTCCTCTTTGAAAATGTATAGTACCTTTTCTGTAACTTAATTATGTTCTTCATCAATAATAATCATGATGGCCTTGAGAATGAGAAAATTTTTGAATATGTAGCTTTTAGGGTACATTGACTGATAACAGCTTTAAAGTTGAGAAGCAGAGATTCATTTAAGAACATAAGAACAAAAGAGAAACCAATGTTGGATCAGGCCAAAGGCCCATCCAGTCCAACACTCTGTGTCACACAGTGGCCAAAAATACCAGGTGCCATCAGGAGGTCCAGCAGTGGGGCCAGGACTCTAGAAGCCCTCCCACTGTTGCCTCTCCTCAAGCACGAAGAATACAGTGCATCACTTGTCCCAGACTTAAGAGTTCCTATCTATACCTTGTGGCTAATAGCCACTGATGGACCTCTGCTCCATATCTATATATCTAATAGCCAAGGCACCCCCTGCGT